TTTTATAAACCTTGGATAGGGTTTATATTAGCTGTCTAACTAGGGTAAAATATGCTCCATTAAAGTTTCTGTTCATTTATTTTTAAACTAATAGAAATGATGTCCTGAGATTAAATCCCAGCTGGAAAGGTTGAACTATATCTCTAATTTCCTTTTCTAAAAAAGATTCATAACTATTTAATATTTTATTCATTTAATAAATTTTTTATTTATTTAGAACTTAAATTTTTAAGAACAACTAAATTAATAGAAATTTAAAATATTTTTTTTTGATTAAAATATCTAGGTCATTGAGAAAAAAATTTTAAAATTTAAAATAACATTTTGTATCTTTTTAAAATTACAATCTAATAAAAATTTTATTTTTTATTTAAAATGTATGGATTATTTAAAAAATTTGCAGTTCAAAATTTAAATTAAAATTGTATATTTCTTTTTTAAGTAATCCATACATTTTAATTAAAAAATAAATATATTTTAATTTTTTTTGTTTTTAAAAATTTAATTTTTTAAAAAATAAATTTAAACTAAAAAATAATAATTTATAAATTGAATAAAGCATATTAGATAGTTATCAATCTTCTTTAGAATAGAAAATAAGAAATAAAATTCAATCGTGCCAGCTGAGATCAGGACCCGCAACTCAAGACCTCTCTGGTAGAAGGCATAGAGCCTAATCACTACACCACCATTGAGATAAGTCTGGAAACTTTGCTAGTTTAAAAATAAATGAACTGAAATTTTAATGGGGCAAATTAGGTGTCTAATTTTGTTTTGATAGGAATTTTTGAGATGTGTACTTCCCTTGTTAGTCTAATTTTTATGTCTGTAATTTTCACCATTACAAAAGCTTGTTTATAAAACCAATCAGATTTCTCTTTATATAATAATGTCTCTGCATGCTATAAACTGTCTTATTTTAACTAAGCAAAGTTTATATTTTTAGAGAATATACTTAAGATGTGTACAGATTATAATCTTTAGTAACGGAGCCTGATGCAAAGAAAGCTGAAGTTATTAAGCAAGTGGATCATCCTTTCCTAATCAGTTTAACGTATCCAGGAATGCAAGTTAGCATACGCAATTCTGATATAGCATATTATTGATACAAAACTTATGTCATATTTATATTTAAAAAGTGTGTTGATTAAAAGGTTCTCTGTAATAATGTGTATCTAATTGTGTTTCAGGGTAATTTGTTATACTCTATTGACATTATACGGTTTTAATAGGTGAACGTACTTAAGTTTCATTAAAAGCTTAAAAGGAAAATTTTTAAATTTAAATTAAAAAGCTTATTTAAGTGATAAAGGTTTTTTCTATCAGTAAATCCATTAATCAGGCTGTAAATTGACTGCACAATTTATTTAAGAAAGTAGTAATATAACAATTTTGTTTTTTTATTGCTACATTAATGATCTGTTAATCATATCATTTGTCCTCTAAATCAAATTACATATGTTTTCTGAAAATCGTGCATTCCTTAAAGTTTTTAGGATTATAATTAGTTTTTTGGTTTATTCCTTTTAGCATAATTTCAATCTATAATGGCAAGATATTTCCTCAAATCTATGATATTTCATTAATTCTATCATATATTTTTTTTTATTCTCAGTTTTGAAAATTTTTTTACTAACCATTTTTTCACAAGTATTAAAAACTAATCTAATAAAATTTTAAATCTATGGACTGATAGTGTTTGCGGTTAGGTACTGGCAATTTGGAATTTTCCTTGTAGCATATTAGGAAATCAGTTAGTAATAAATTTTTAATTTTTGTGAAGTTATAAGTTTTGACAATTAAATTGATTTTTGTGTGGTCAATTTTTCTTCCTAGGTCTTTCATATTTATACTAATAGTTTTATTTTAATGTAATATAATGTTATTTATTTAACCAGAATTTTATCATTCCATATAACTCGAATGTTTTTCAATTCCTATATTTTCTGACCAACTGAGCTACTTGATATAATTTCATTTTTCTGTTAAGAATTTTAAAAGATAAAAATATAAGATTAATTATGTTATTCATTATTAAAAAGTATTAAATTTGTTGGACATAAAATTAGTTCCTCAATTCTTTTTCTTTTTTTCTTTCTTACTCATTGTTATTTTACTTTTTTTTCTTTGGCTGTAAAAAGCTTTCAGCAAGGCATTTTATTCTGTTCTCACTTGTAAAATCTTCTAATTTCATGAACTGTTATTTATTACCCTGTCATGAATATGGCATGGTAATAAATAACAGTTAATATAAGCTGTAAAAATTATAGCTTACAGCTTATGGGAATAAAATTATAAGATTTTTTTTTAATAATGATAATTTTTATTCTATTAAATTTTTTTATTACTTTTTGATGTATTTTTTTACTTAAAAGTATACTACATTAGAAAATAATCAAAAAATTATTTGTAATGAACTATTTAGCTATAAAACTATAAATGCAATAATCTGAATGCAATAGTTTCATTTTTCAACAGGCCTTAGATGAAGAATACCTTAAAGTAGATGCTCAGTTTGGTGGCGTTGACCAAAGAAAGATTTTCACTTTCGCTGAAATGGTTTGTTTTTATGAACTGTTTCATATAAAATATACTTAAATTTTCATTTTTTGCATTAATTTCATTTTTTAATTGTAATATTTTTAAGTATTTTTATGATATGTTTCAGTATTTACCTCAATTGGGTTATGCTAAAAGAATTCATCTAATGAATCCAATGGGTATGAATAATTTTTGAAATGCATGTTATACTTTATTTTAATGAAATGCTTGCAGTAATATCATGGTTAAATTAATAGTTTCTTTTCATCTCTTTTACTTACATATCTTTTCTTTTTAAAATAACTTCTTTTTCTTTACATATCTTAAATGATTTTTATCTACCAACTATTTGACTACCCATAATAAAAATATTTAAAAAATAAACAGTAATTTTTACATATTTTATCTTTATGATTATTATGATTGAATCCAATTGATAATTTATGAAAGTTTATTAATGCCATTTACTAATTTATAAAAGTAATATGATTTTAATTAGGTGTTTAATGTCTGTTTAGTTCACAACGCATATTTATGAATTCAGATCAGGCAATAGTTTAATCTAATGAAAAAGAGACTGAAGGAAACTCAATATTGGGTATGTATTAGAGGCAAAAATTGTACAGATGTGATGAAGTCAGCAAAGTGAACCTTTTGAATTTGGATTAGATGGGAATTGTAAATGTAAAATTGTGGATTCTCTTAAAAAAAATTTCAAAAAATTTCTCTCATAACAGTTTTCCCCCCCTCCTTTTTTTAATAATAGCATAATATCTGTAGCAAGTCTTAAATATGTAAAATTTTAAACTTGTTTGAAGAATTTACACAAGTCATCATCATCATCAATGGCTCGACAGCCCAGGGTGGGCCTTGGCCCTCTCAAAAAGTTTTTTTCCAGGCTAACCTTTTCTTTTTTTGCTAGTGTTTTCCAATTTTTTGTTTTTAGGGCCAAAAGATCTTTCACTAGGCCATCTATCCATCTCAAATTCGGTCTGCTTTTTTTTTCGTGTGCCAACTGGTCTGGCATTGAAAACTCTGGTGGTACGGACGTCGTCCATTCTTACACAAGTATCAGATTTATTTAATCTTACCTCAGTTAGGCTTTAAATTTTATAAAACTTAAGATGCCAACCAAGAGAGCGGTTACTAAATTAATAAAAACTTACTTTTAAATTTCTATCTTGTTATTTGGATCCTGTATTGAAATGAATTTTGTTTATCTAATTTTTTTTATGTTTATATAAAAAATATTGTGATATTTGAAAGGTTTTAATTATAAATGGTCATCCAAAGTTCCCTTTAAACTAGAAATAACTAAATTCTTTGTCTTAGAAATGTTGGGGGCCTTGAATGAGTAAATTTGTTTTATTTTGTCAATATTGTTTGTTCTGGGGGCATCAATATTGCACTGTTTTCCATTTTGGAATGAAGAAAATTGAAAATGTATGCATTCATTATCCATATAAAGAATGTAAATTTTTCATCATTCTCAACTAAGAATAAATCAAAATTAATTTTAATAAATCAAAATCAATAAAGTAAAATGAGAGAAATTATTAAAAAATAATTTAAGATTGAAATTTATGCAATTAAATTTTGTTCATATGCAATTTTGGTTGTCTTAACTGAAGTTTATTTAACGAATTTTTCTTAAAATATTTCTGCTATCCTTTAACTTTCTTTTCATGAATAAATAAGTTATTTCAAGTATGCTTTATTTTTGCGAAATTCATTTAATTGTAGATTTGCTCTCTTATAAATGTATTACATTGTTTTAATATTAGTGCCTGGACTTACTGGTGGAAAAATGAGTCCCTCTTTAGAAGATTCAGGAATAGACTTATTCGATAATCCCTCTACTGTTAAGAAGAAGCTTAAAAAGGCATTTTGTGAACCTGGTAATTTAGAAGATAATGGAGTTCTGGCTTTTGTAAAACATGTGCTACTCTTCAAAGATGAAGGTTAAGGACTTTTCTATTGTTTTCAAATCGTTTTTAAAATTGAACATTTGTTCTGAAATGTAAGATATTTGTATGTCTAATTTTTTTTTTATCTTACTCTATATTTGCCACATAATTTTTTTAAACAACTGTAACAAACAAAATGTATTTTACATTGAATATTAAAAAAAAATCATTTTAAGATTCAGAAATTTTCAAAAGTGGTGTCAGAAAAATGAATTGTTTGTTTATTAAAATGAGCCATTCGTGTTTTCGCATTTTGTAACATGGTTTTTTTATGTAAAAAGTTCTTTAAAAAAAAAGGTTAAAACTATACTTAGTAAGTAGTTTTTGTAAGCATTACCAAGCTAAGATTTTTAATTTCAAACTTAGAACTGTAATGTATGGTAAATTGCCGGTTAAGTTCAATTCCATATAATTTCTTGCTCTATGTTCACCTATACTTAGTTTTATGAAAAGTTATTTTATATTTCTTTTATTATTTAATTTGCATTTCTTTAGATTTTGTCATTCAGAGAAATGAAGAAAATGGTGGAAACGCAAATTATAAAAATAATGCTGATATAGAAGACGACTTTGAAAATATGTGTGTATTTGTGTTAAAATATGTTAACGAAGATTTTCAAAATGTTAATCACCTGCATATGTTCATCATATTTTCTTTATGTTGGTTATGTTGAAAATTTATGTTTTTCAGCAACTCATTACATTTACAGACCCACCGATTGAAAGGCTTTAGTCTCTGGCTTTTATGTCCAATATCTGGTCTTCTGGTCACCAATGTATTTTCCAAGTTTTTTCTCTTTTTTTTTACCTAATTGGCGTATGAATTGGATAACCTGTACATAATTTACATATGGCTTTCAAAACTTTGGTCCAGATCAATGATTTTGTAGTTGAAGTGATTAATATATAGAACTTTTTTTTAATATTTTGAAATGTTAAAATTAAAATATTAATATTTAATTAATAATTAAAATTATAATATGAAACATTAAAATACTTTTTTTTTAATATAATGTTTGATAAAATTTTTTTAAAAAAGTATATACACTGCTTTAGGGTGATTTCTCTTTTTGGAGAGATATCTTAATTCATGCTAAAATAACTAATTTCAGTAATATTTCAATTGTTTCTTTTTCAAGCACAGCTCATTTTTACAGTTTTCTGTGTTTGTAAAAATGTTAGCATATGCATAGTTAAGACACTTCTGAATGTTTTCCTTCGTTTAGAAGTTTTTTATTCTTTTAATGGGATTATATATTTATTTTGATGGATGCAAAATGAATAAAAGTAAGATATTTAAAGTCAGTAGCATGAATATTTAGCCACACAGTAAAAATAAACACTTAATTCTTTTTTTTATGAAAACAAACGTTGGAAAATCCATGACAAGATAAACCTGAATGAGCTTCAGACAAATTTATGATTAAAGTTTTTAAAAATTTTAAATCAGCCACCCAATCTGTATTTAAAAGTTATATAAATTGTTTTTTTTATTTTTAAGGTGGGAGAAAGTTATTTATATAAATTCAATATGAAGAATATGTAAATTTATTAATTTTTTAATGCTTATCATTGTTTTGAATTATTGTTTGAATTTTTATTATTGTTTGTATTATATATACTTATTCTATTGCTCAAAAAGTCCCTGCCTTTTTAAATTTCTAAGACTGGTAAGACTGAGCTTAAAAAATATAAATATATTCTAATTTTTATTAATCTTTTTAATTTATTTAGTCCTTTAACTTGAAACACATTTTTGCTCATTCAGTTAACAATAGAAAATCTTAACTGTAGCTGATATTTCCGTTTCTTTATTTTATTTTTCATGAATAATTTACACCATATCTAAAAGACTGGTGTTCAATTAAACTATATTTCCATTAAATGATAAAGATAACTCTGCCTTATGTTTTTGCTATATTGTACATATTTTCTTCTTTTTATATTTTTATGTAAATGTAAAATGATTGAAATTCATTTAAAACGATTTTGTAGATAATTTAGAAATTTGATATCTTAGTTAAATTTTACCATTTGAAATAAATTTTACATAATTAAACAAAATACTTGATGATTTTTGTTCCTATTTCTATTTTGTTTTCTTATAACCTTCCCTAAACAATCAGGAAATCTTTTGATTTTTTTCAAAGTATTCTTAAATTTATTTAAATTTTTTTCCTGCTCATTTGATTTAATTAATTTTTTTAGATACTTCATCCTGGAGACTTGAAGGCTTCAGTAGAAACTTATTTGAATAGATTACTTGATCCAATTCGAAAAAAGTTTGAAGATCCAGCACTTCAAAAGCTATCTACAACAGCCTACCCACCAGTTAATAAAAGTAAGACAGTGAATAAGAATATTTAGAAATATATTCTATCTTTACATGTATGATATAAATTTCAATGATATATTCTGTTTAATTCTTTTTATTTGAAATTATTTTCAAATCGTCACTCTTAAAAAAATGTTTTTTTTAGTTATAATTTGATATTCTTTTATTGATATTAGTTTTAGGTCAATAACATCAATACTATTTTATAACTCTTAAGGTCATTGTTACTTTTTTATATCATTAAATTTATGTTTTAAATTTAATAATTTTTATTTTAGGTAATAAAAATTCAATTTTGATAGATTTGTTTCCTTAGTAAATTAATATTTTCCCAAAACCTAATCAATCATTTATTGAATTGAATTTTTCTGGATGAAATTACTTTTAAAATTATAGTGTTATTAAAAAACTTTTTTTTTACACTTTCAACAAAAAGAGGACTCATAACACAAAAGTATTTCATCAAGTACATTATTTGTAAGTTTTAAAGCAAATAAAACTTGATGAGCAAAAATTTATTGGTTTAAAACTTTTTTTAGTGCCATTAATTCAGTTTCTGTATTGCAGAAAGTGTGAATCTAGTATAGCAGCTGGATCTGTTAATATCTAGTTTAAAACTCAATAAAATATCTGCAACATATAGGGTAAAAGAAATAAATTATGTCATATTACTTTCATGTAATCTTAAATTCATAATACTTGGCTTTTCTATTATCATATTTTTATTTTCATAGTTCATTTTTTTCTCTATCACTCTGTCTGTTTTAATTTATTTTTCTAGGCATCAGTTTCATTTTGTTAATTTAGATACATGTAAAATGTAATTCAATATTTAGATAATTTATGAAATACTGAACTAAAATTTTATTTTCAAACAAGATTTGCGGAATTAAACAAAATTTATATACTAAATTTGCTTTTAATGAACTTTCCATTTTCTTAAACTATAGATATAAAACACTGTACAGAGTATTTTATATCAGATATATATAGTTGTATGTCTATAAGTTGTATACAGGCCGGGATAGCCTGGTTGGTAGGGCGCTTGGCCTATGTCCAGGAGCTCGTGGGTTCGATCCCCGCTGGCCTAAAGACTCCCTGTGTAGTCCGATCATATCCGCCTCCGATCATATTTGTTATTACACAAATGGTATTATACTATGAAGCATATGTAAGAATTAATTTAAAATTCACAAAAAACACACAAAATAATAAAAAATTATTAATAAAAAATTAACAATTAATGCTAAAAAAAACAATTAATAACCACAAAAAATAAGCTAACAATAAATAACTAGCAAAAAAATTAACAGTCCTGCTTAAACTAACATCTTAATACCCAATATAAGTTATTTGTCATCTAATCTGCAACAACAGAAGTCACACTGATGTTACTTTAAGTTGAATTACGCGTATAACTGAGGCAGTGCAAATTTTTTTGTTCAATTTAAATAAAGAGTTTTGAGTTGATAGTATTAAAAATAAAAGAATGCATTTAAATAACAATCGAAAAGTCTTTTACCAATATTTAATTACCTGTAAGATAATACCTAATGGCTTTCTTAAAAGCATGCTAACTATATTTTGCACACTCAACAAGAAAAACTTTTGCACATTCAGCATTCGGTAATCAAAAATGTTGAATTTATATCTGCTATGTTTTTTGTTCATGCTTGCAGTAATGAAAAAAGGTATTTATTTCCTTGTATTATTTAGTTTGAATATTTCAAATGTAATTTATTTTATGAGTAGTATTTTTTCTGTATGCTTTCAGAAGGAAAAAGTGTCACCACTGATACTCCTATTTCCCCTGCAAGACTAGACATGCGAGTAGGAAAAATAGTTTAAATTCAAAAGGTTTGTAATAAGAATGTTTTTTCTTGAAATAATAAATGCATAAATAATCAATTCTTTTATTGCATGGCTATGGTGTTCTTATCATTTTTAAGATTAATTCAATTTGTCAGATTGTTATAAAACCTTTAGATAAGAATAGTTTTGTATCTTTTCCCCCCTTCTTTTTACCTGTCAGTACTGACCATTGTGTGCATTATTTTTAATCTGTTGGGTTGAGTTTTATTTCATAAGTCCAATGGCCCTAAGAACCCCTGGCCTTGTGCAATTACACCCTACATCT